AGTTAAAAGAAGCCCTGGTAACCAGGTGCCCAGTACAGCCAAATTCATTTACTCCATCCTTCACATTCACCATGGTGTCTCAGGGACACAGCTGGTGCTGCCTGAGAAGATGCGGCTGTGTGTCAGATGAGAGAAGCAGAGAGCATCAAAAACCCTAGCATTTTCTAATTTATCTTTTTTTTAATTTTTTACTGTTTTCTAGCTTAAATTTTCACTATGGTTAGAGAATGTATTTATTTCAGTCCTTTGATATTTGTTGAGACTTGTTTTAGGGTCCAATATTTAGTCAGTTTTTAGAGATATTCTGTATTCTGCTAAAAAGAATATCTGTTTTACATTTGTTGTATTCAGTGTTCTGTATATGCTCATTGAATCAAGTTTATCAGACTGTTTAAATCTTTTATATCCTTACTAATGTTTCATTTGCTTGGTTTATTATTGAGAGTGATGTAATGTATGTCTCTTGTAAGCATCATATAGTTTTATAAATCTTTTTTTTTTTTTTTTTTTTTTTTTTGAGATGGAGTTTTGCTCTTGTTGCCCAGGCTGGAGTGCAGTGGTGCGATCTTGGCTCACTGCAACCAACCCCTGCCTCCTGGGTTCAAGTGATTCTCCTACCTCAGATCTCCCAAGTAGCTGGGATCAAAGGCACACATCACCACACCTGGCTAATTTTTTGTATTTTTAGTACATCTTAAAGCTTTTTTATTTTAGTTAGCATATTTACTTCACTCACATTTAATCATTGATTTTTTATGCTTAACCATTTGCCATCTTTCTTTCAGTCTTACATATTCTATTTCATTTTTCTCTTTTCTTGTCAATTTTTGGATTATCTTTATTATTGGATTTATTAATTTTAGAAGTTAAACAATTAAAAAGCTTTTCTTTTAGTGATTACTTTAGATATTATAGCATGAATCTTTCAGTTATCAAAATCATTGATAATTTTATCTTCTTCCCAAACAATGTAAGAAACTTAAAACTTTTTATTCCATTTTCCCTTTTCCAATCCATATGCAATTGTTTTGTATATACAATTTATATGCAGTTCAATTTTGCATATATTTATTTAAAACCCCACCAGAGCTCTTTGTCCCAGCAGTAGCAGAGCTGAGCCAGCAGCTCCCTCCCTCCCTCTGCTGGCCACTGGCCAGCAGGATGGAACAGGCCACACTCCTTTGTCAAGGACTTACTGGATGGAGGCTTTGCCCTCGCTATCTCCAAGAGGGCAGCGACATGAGTTGAGCAGGTCAAGACATTGCTGCAGGTGCAACCAGTAAGCAGATCATGGTGACACAGTACAAAGGCGTGGTGGGCTGCAAGATCTGCATCCACAAAGAGCAAGGCATTTGTCCTTCTGGAGGGGCGCCTGGCCAGCATCATCTGCTGCTTCCACACGCAAGCCCTCAACTTTGTCTTTAGGGATAAGTACAAGCAGGTCTTTCTTGTACTTATACACTGTGCTTCTTCTACCTCCTGGAATTCGCCAGAACCCATCTGGCTGCCAACATTGGAGAAACTGGGCATGGAGTGGGAGCTTAAAGGCCTGGCAGACTGCCTGGAGAAGATCAAGGCTGATGGGATCTGGGGCCTGTCCTAGGGCTTCAGCGTCTCAGTGCAGGGCATCCATATGTACCTGGCAGCCTACCTCAGCGTGTGTGATATAGCCAAGAGCATGCTCCCTGACCCCAAGAACAGCGACCAGACCACACGATGAGCTGGATGATTGCCCAGGCCATGACAGTGATCCACGCGTTCTCCTACCCACTCCTCACAATTCGGGCGGATGGTGATGCAGTCCAGACGCCAAGGAGCTGACATTATGTACACAGGCGCCCTTGATTGTTGGCAGAAGCTCTCCTAAGATGAAGGGGGCAAGGCCTTCTTCAAGGGTGCGTGGTCAGCATCCTCAGAGGCATGGGGCCAAGACTGGTCCTGTATTATGAGCTGAAGAAAGTGACCTAAGTGCATATGTCTCCTCCATAGAAATGGCAACCCAGAGAATCATGTAAAATATTTAACTATTACAGATTATGAACCTTCAAGAAATTCCTGTCGTCTTTGTCCTGGCCAGAGATCATGTCTGTAGAGGGCTGAGGTAGGCTCTAGAAAAAGGGCTCATTGTGATCACATTCCCCATTGGCACCTGATTCCATGTATTGATTACTGGGAGTAGGAGAATCATGATGTCATTGTGAGCCCACAGGCTAGGAAACTCCAGCTCAGACCTAGAATTCAGATGCTTATAGGACCTCAGTTGTGTTTAAGTGTTTATTTAAATCAAAGGAATTGTGTTTCCCATTTGTACTTAAGCACTAACTCTTCGTTTGCAGTGAGTATTTGTAATTATGTTCTGCTAGGCATGCTACTGCAAAACAAACAAAAAAAAACAGGATACTGAGAGGCAGAAAATACCACACAAGATATTATTAAATAGTATGATTGTATATAGAGAATATTAGTTTTACCCACTACTTACAATTTCTGTTGCTCTTCATTCTGTGCAGCTCCTACCAACTTCCATCAGACATTATGTCTAGAAAAGAATACTTTTTAGAATTTTATTTAATGAGCATCTGCTGATAGCAGATTCAGGTTTTGTCAGTCTGAAAATGAGTTTATTTCATCTTAATTCCTGAAGGATATATTTAGTGAACTCTAAATTGACAGTTATTCTCTTTTAGCCGTTAAATATAGTACTCTGTTGTCTTCTGGTTCTCATTGTTTCTTTAAAAGTAATCTGTTCTTTTTCCTCACTAGCTGTTTTAAAGATATTTCCTATTTCTTTGGTTTACAGAAATTTTTACTGAGATGTGCCTAACTTGTGAATTTCTTTGATTTATCTTGCTTGGGATTCCTAGGACTTCGGAATGTCTTTAATCAGTTTAGAAAAATTCTCAGCCAGATAGTGCTTCTGTGCCATGCTCTATTTTGTCTTCTTCTGGGGTTCCAATCACATGTGTGTTACACTTTATCATACTCTGTATTGCTTACCCTTTCTTCTATATTTTCTGTCTCTTTGACTTACTGCCTTTTGTTCCGATGGGTTCCTTCTAACTGCTCCTAGTTTTGTAATTGTCTCTTTAGTTGCACTTAATCTGCTGTTAAACTCATCTATTGAATTTTTAATTTTGATTATTGCAATTGTCACTTTTGGAATTTATATTTGATTATTTTATAAATCTTTTTTTTTTTTTTGAGACGGAGTTTCACTCATGTTACCCAGGCTGGAGTGCAATGGCGCGATCTCGGCTCACCGCAACCTCCGCCTCCTGGGTTCAGGCAATTCTCCTGCCTCAGCCTCCTGAGTAGCTGGGATTACAGGCACGCGCCACCATGCCCAGCTAATTTTTTGTATTTTTGGTAGAGACGGGGTTTCACTATGTTGACCAGGATGGTCTCGATCTCTTGACCTCGTGATCCACCCGCCTCGGCCTCCCAAAGTGCTGGGATTACAGGCTTGAGCCACCGCGCCCGGCCTTGATTATTTTATAAATCTAAGTGAAAAACAAAAAAAGAACCCTAAAAATAAAAAAAAGAAAAAAATCTTCGTCATTTATAAAATAATCGAGCTCCTGTTGATCTGTTTCTGTTGTCTTTTGGTTCTCATTTATGTGTGGTTTTGTCTCCAAACGTGTCTCCATTTATGTGTAGTACTTGGTTATCTTTGTTTATGTGGTAGACATTGTATTTTAAAAATTGTTTATGTAAATTTAATTTAGCAGCTAAAATGATCTTTTCTGCCCTACAGAAAAGATTTTCATTTGCTTTTGCTAGTAGATACCTGGAGTTACTAAAAATCTGGGGTCCTTTAAATCAATTTCAGGCATCAAGATTTTTCTGGGCCACCCATATGACCAAGCAATTGTTTTAATTCTACAGAGAAACTGTTTGGGGTCCCAACCAGAACATGGCCTGTTTACTAGAGCTCCCATTGTTGGTAGGCCCTAGCTTCCAACTTTTGGCCTGAAAAGGCTTGTGTGGTTTGTTTTATTTTTATTTATTTATTTTAAGACAGAATCTCCCTCTGTTGCCCAGGCTGGAATACAATGGCACAATCTGGGCTCATTGCAATTTCCACCTCCCGGGTTCAAGCGATTATCCTGCCTCAGCTTCCTGAGTAACTGGGATTACAGGCACCCACCACCACAGCCAGCTAATTTTTTTATTTTTAGTAGAGACGAAGTTTCACCGTGTTGGCCAGGTTGGTCTTGAACTCCTGACTTCAGGTGATCCACCCGCCTCGGCCTCCCAAAGTGCTGGGATTACAGGCATGAGCCACTGTGCCTGGCAGTTTTTTTGTTTTTAAATAGACCTTATTTTTTAAAGAAGTTTTGACCTGGCGTGGTGGCTCATGCCTGCAATCCCAGCACTTTCAAGGCCAAGGTGGGCGGATCACTAGGTCAGGCATTCAAGATCAGCCTGGCCAACACAGTGAAACCCCGTCTCTTAAAAAAAAAAAAAGAAAAAAAAAGGTTATAGGTTCACAGCAAACTTGAACAGAAAGTAGAGTCTCACATACCCACTTCCCCTACATGCTGACAAGCCTTTAAGTGCATTGTCCAGCCTGCAATTCCTCTCCTGGAATTTTCAGTGCTTCCATGAGAAAAGTGTTCCTAAATACAAGATTTATATTCTAGATTTTTTGTCTTCTTCCACATTTTGGCTTGGTAATTCTTTACTACCTTGTTGGTTTGTGATACCTTCAACCAGTTGTTTTTTAAAAATCAGTCCAGCTTTTCTAACTGTTTTCAGTGGGAAGGTTGGTCTGAACTATGAAGCCTGCTGTTATTGAACAGAGTTATTCCCTTTCTTATAAATTGTTGCAAGTAGATTGCGTATCTGGAAAATATATTAATAGATCTAGCTGAACCCATTAAGGAAATGGTACAACTAAAAACCTTTTCTGTCAGCCATTATAGTTTTAAAATTATACTTTCAAATATAGAGATATAGAAATTAAACTTTTATTTTTAATGTATAATCTTTTATTCCAGCTCGTGATGCTGATGAGCGAGAGAAGTGGATCCATGCCTTAGAAGAAACAATTCTTCGACACACTCTTCAGCTTCAAGTAAGTGTCTTTACATGGCTTCCAGATAGTTCATTAGTTGTTGCTCTTTTCTTTTTGTCTGTTTTCTGGTTTTGTTTTGATTTTTTTTTTAAATAATTGTGATGTGATATAGTAGGAAATTAGAATTTCTGAGTTGTTTATTCTTGCCTTTACAATATTATAATATATAGTAAAGTTATGCTTATTTATTTTCTCCTGCTTTCTGCAGGGTAAAATACTGATTTTTGTCTAGAAACAAGACAGTGTTGAGAGTGAAATTCAGTGTTAAATTATGCCAGATTCATTTTTAAAATTTAATATCTATAGTCAGTTATCAATACAACCAAATTACATAATTATGCATGATAATAGGTAAGTGCTGAGAATTTGACCTCATTTTCTTGTTAAAGGATTTGGCTATTACCATATGTGTCAGTTAGTACTCTTTCATATGGTAGAGAAAGAAAACTTAACACAAACTGATTCACAAAGAAGACAGTAAACCTGGTTTGATGTGGTTTGAGCCCTAGGTAATTCATGTCATGAGGACTCAGATCTCCAAGCTCTGTTTCTAGGTTCCACTTCTTTTGCATTGACTTCATTTTCGGATAGGTTCTCCCTTGGTGGTGGTGGTGGTGGTGGTGGTAAGGTGGTTGTAGCAACGTCAGCCTCACGTTTTTGGAACTGAGTCCATAGGAGGCTCTTATTTCTAAACCTTAATAGGGTTAACACAATTAGTGCTGATCACCTTAGCTTTGGCCATGTGTCGAATCCTGACCAATCACAATTTCACAGTCATAGATTCTACCCTGGAGCTGGAATGTTACTGGCTTCACTAGGAGCACATTGCTGGTAGGTAGAAGGTGTGTTTATCCTACCCCACCACCCACACCAAAGTCAGAATGGGGAAAAACAGATGCTGGGTGACATGCAACTAATATTTGCTCTACTACACTGAAGATATTCTTCTGTTTATTCTCCAGTGAAACAGCTCATATTTGTGGCACATAGGGATTTTGTTTTATATTAATTTAGAAGATTTAATTGTAGAAAACAAGTTTTATAAGCCTTTCACTCTACTTTGTTCTACATCAGGAATTGACTTGATTAGATAGGTGTCATAGGGTATCCTAGGCCCTACAAGATGGTAAACCCCCCCCATCACTTGAAAGTGTTCAAGTAGAGGCTTAAAAAACATTATTCAAGGATGTGGTTATTAAGGGACTTTAAGAATGAATATGGAATTGAAGTAGGAAATCTATATGCTACTCTATGAGTTATGCTTTTTAAAAGCAATTTGTAATTTCTGTAGATTTCGTTTAAATTTAGGCAGTTTCATAAATGACTATAGCATCATTTTAGCAAATGTGTGATACTGTAAGAGGAGGATAAGTTTTGTTTGTTTGTTTGCTTGTTTGTTTGAGACAGAGTCTCACTGTCGCCCAGAAAGTAAATGTGGTTAGACGTGGTTTTTCTTGGCTCACTGCAACCTCTACCTCCTGGGTTCAAGCAATTCTTCTGCCTCAGCTACCATACCTGGCCTAAGAGGGGAGGATAAGTGTTTTAATGATCATATTAGACTGAGTGTGGCAGATGGGATTTCCCTCCTGTGTTTGATTAGACTGACATTCAAGTCTTTGGCATGTTTTCACTTGCCCTTGTAGGCATTTCTGCCCCTATACCCCCACATAAACCTTCTAGAGTACTATTGCTTACTTGCTTTCCATCAAATACATTTTTGCATTTCTGGTCTCCACATTCTTCTGTGTGATGTCCTTTCTCTGTGAAATGTCTCTACCCTTTTCTTCAAAGCCTAGTTTAGAACTGACCTCTTCTATGAACCCTGCCCCAACTGGCCTTTCCTTCCCCAATCCCCTAAGTTGAAAATCATCTCTTTCCTTTGAATACTATAGCATTTGCACGATTCACTAAGTCCTTATCATATTCTTCTTGTTTATCTGTTGTCAGCTGATGTTGACATCATAAGTTCAGGTTCCTAACTAGATCCAATTTTGGAATTTTTAAGCTTTTGCTAAAAAGAGAGCTTGTATGTCTTTGGGAATAATGGGGAGAAAAAGATAACTTTGAGAAGTCTTAGACTTTTGATAGCTTTGATATTTAAAGTACATGTAATATGAGAGTTCTTTTTTTCCCCTAAACTTAATGCATAGTGAAGATAGGACATTTAGAAATACAGAATTAATGTTCATTTTGAAGCAGGAGCGGCTGTGAACAAAAGACATCTCGGACACCGAACTAGGAAGGAAGAGGTTTATTATGGCCTGGGAGCAAGGCAACAATTTGTCTAACCGCCAAGCTCACCTAACAAAGAGAAGCTCTGCCTTTATATAGGCTTACACTCTAGATATTACAAATGAAAGAATCTTAGGTTCATAGCCTTAAAAATTACAAGTGAAAGGGTCTTGGGTTTACAGTTTTAGAAATCACATATGAAAGGGTCTTGGGTTTACAGCTTTAGAAATCACATATGAAAGGGATGGAAGAGTGGGGAGGGGGTTTGATTTTGTTTAAGTAAAAACAATGTCTTCTGAGAGATTCCCCCACACCATACCTGCTATTTACAGGAAGGCAATTTAGGAGGCACCAGTCTGCCAGCCTTTTCTTCTATTGAAATGCAGTGTAGAAGTCAAGCAGGAGATGATCCAAATGGCTGGGTCTCCTTCCTCAATTTGACTGGCAAAAGATTATCTTCTCAGAGGTAGCAAAGTGTGGTAAAGAATTTCACTCTAGAGCCAGAATGTCTGTGTTTGTATCCCAGAGCCACCACTTCTGTTTAATCATTAACATTCAACTTACTGTCTCTGAGTTTCAGTGGCCTCATCTATAAAATGAGGATAATAAGAGTACCTACTTCATAGAGTTGTTTTGGTGATTAAATGAACTAACATAAACTTGCTAGAACTTGATAAACTAGCATAAGACGAAAACTGGTTGAAATAATGCCTGGCTATAATAAGAACTTGGTAAATGTTAGTTGCCATTACTCATATAACTACTATTCCTACCATTCCCTCTGCAAGTGCCTGATATTCAGTAGCGCTCAGTAAATGTTAGTTAAGAAATAATTGAAGGAATGAATGAACAAATGGTTGATGTAGAGATTGCTTTTCCATTGTTGTTTATTGAATATTTTGAGATGTATAACATACTATCTATCTATTAGGCACTGTGGGATGGGCACTTATGGAACTGTCTTCCAAAGGGGTATAGGAGAGAAGACACAGTGAGCTCAGCAACCTACCTTTAAAACATTCCTAATATCTGCTGCTGTGTTAGGTTATCTTCTTTTGCTTTTATTTGTCACAGAACTCTAATGTGTATTCCTCCCGCCCACTTGCATTTATAGATGAGGACACTCCTACTACATAGTACTTTCCCAGTTTAACACTTGACCTCATTGTATTTATATGTCCTTGTTTTTTATTTTTGAGACATAGTCTCACTCCACCCAAACACAGTAACAGCTCACTGCAACCTCTGCCTCCCCTGCTCAAGTGATCCTCCCACCTCAGCCTCCTGAGAAGCTGGGACTACAGGCTGCACCACCATGCCTGGCTAATTTTTGTATTTTTTTGTAGAGATGGGGTTTTGTCGTGTTGGCCAGGCTGGTCTTGAACTCCTGGGCTCAAGCCATCTACCCACCTTAGCCTCCCAGACTGCTGAGATGATAGGCATGAGCCACCATGCCCAGCCATGTTCTCCTTTTCTATTGAACTTTATCTCTACTTTAGCCATTAAACTCCACTGCATTGGTGTCATTACTAAGAGCTGAACGACCTGCAAAATATTAACGTGTTTTCTTCAACAACAGTTTTCTTATCTTCATCTTCCTCTATCACTTTACTTCTTCTGAACTTTTGTTCTCTGATTTTGGTCTGAGCTCTACTTCTCCATTTTTCCTGGCCATTTAGTACTTTCTTGTTTTGCTCATCTCATTTCCCAGTGTGGACATTCTGGTCCGCTGCTTTAACATTGCTTTTGCTAGAAGACATACAAATGGCAAGGAGGTATATGAAAAGGTGTTCAACATTATTGATCATCAGAGAAATGAGGACCAAAACTACAATGAGATATCATTTCACCCCTGTTAAAATGGCTTTTTTTTCCCAAAAGACAGGCAATAACAAAATGCTGGTGAGGATATGGAAGAAAGGGAACCCTCATACACTGTTGATAGGAATGTAAATTAGTATAGCCACTGTGGAGGACAGTTTGAAGGTTCCTCAAAAAAACTAAAAATAGAGCTACCATATAATCCAGCAATCCCACTGCTAGGTATATACCCAAAAGAAAGGCAATCAATATATGGAAGAGATACTTGCATACCCAGATTTATCTCAACACTATTCACAATAGCCAAGATTTGGAAACCAGGTGTCCATCAGCAGATGAATGGATAAAGAAAACATGGTACATAAACACAATGAAGTTCAGCTGTGAAAAAGAATGAGCTCCTGCCATTTGCAATCCTGTCGTTGGATAAAACTGGAGGTCATTATGTTAAGTGAAATAAGCCAGGCACAGACTTCACATGTTCTCACTTATTTATAGGAGCTAAAAATTAAAACAGTAGAACTTATAGAGCAAGAGAATAGAATTATGATTACCAGAGGCTGGAAGGGTAGTTCAGCGTATGTGTGGGGTGAGTGGGGATGGTAAATGGGTACAAAAAAATAGAACGAATAAGGTCTATTTGATAGCACAACAGGGTAACTACAGTCAACAATAATTTAATTACACATTTAAAAATAACTGAAAGAGTATACTTAGATTGTAACACAAAATATAAATGCTTGAGGTGATGGATACCTATTTACCCTGATGCAATTATTACTTCTTTCATATCTGTATCAAACTATTTCATATTCCATAAATATATATACCTACTATTTACCCACAAAAATTTTAAAACTATATATTGTTTTTGCTATCACCTTTAGAATTTTGTCACTGAATAGTTCGTCTGTGTACCTTTCCAGTCTTCTTTCCCCAGGGCCCCC